AACACTGAGGGTTGCGATCCGTTGCCGGTCACGAAAAAAGACAAAAAAAAAAAAAAGGAAATACCTGGGATGGTGTTGGGTCTGCAGAGAACATTAGCAAAGGGTGGGCTGTTGGGCACAGCACACTCCCTGACTGTGATAGGACCGAGATCCCCGACTCGAACCATCTTGACTGAAGTCACAATGCCCGTGGCCACCAGGTATGACGTCTTTCATACCAGCTGTAAGCAGCCATATCGTCCACATGGCTCCCCACCGCCTGACTCACACAGCAGTTACTCAGTAAGTATTTGTTAAATAAATGAATTCCTTGGGCAGGACCAGTTTTATGTCAACAAATCCTTGTTCTTTTCCTCTCCCTTCTGGATTCTAGGCAAACTGACTCCCTTCTCCTTCCGGCAGGATACTATTCGTTGGGTCACAGCTTTTCTTACGTGAGTTGTGTTTTATTCTCCTGGAGGAAGATACCTTGATGACTTGTGGGGAATACCCTGCTGTCATCAGTAATATGTTCATAGATCTTCTAGCATGTCCCTTTCCTGTTTCCCATTTATACTGTATGTAATCGGCATTCCCCTGCATGCTACAAACGTGACAATGGCGACTGTCACCCTAGAGTGGTTCCGTGTTGGTTCCTCCACTGCCTGGAGCACTGTGCAGCTCCATCCTTCTGGACAGAGGTCAGAGCATGTGTCTTCCTCCAGAAAGGTGATTATTCTTCTCATAGGTTTTTCTTTTTCTTTTTTTTTAACTGCATTAAATTTAGCATTGCCCTAACAATTTCAGTTTTCAGCTCCTCACACATGAACGAGTTGTCCAAGGTTGCAGGTCTTCGTTCGGACTTAGCTTGATTCACTTCAAAGGACAAAACAAGCTCCTCTGATCAACTCTCAATGCAATACACTGGCCAGAAAAAAGGAGGGCAAGCCTGTCTACCGCTTTCTGTCGAAGGTCGAGGGAGCTGGCCATCCACTGGCCAGCCACAAACAGGCGGGGTGACAGGCATTGCGGTTAGACATGTGGCAGGAAGGAAACAGTCACCTTGCTTTCCTGCCTCGGATGGACTTGGCAGAATTTCCGTCGGTCCCTAGCCTGGCTCTATCTCAGAGCCTTTGGATGAAATGACTTATCATTTTCCTTTCCCCAAATTTAAGAAACCAGTAGGGAAAGGATTCCAAACTCCAACCAACAGGCACTTTCTCTCATGCCCACCCCATGAGAACCCTAAGACAAATCTCAGGAACTATTCCCTTGGCTTTAGAAGTACCCCCAGCACCTGATATTATTTGATTCTCTTCCCACAAAACACTCACACTAAGTATCTCCTTGAGAGGTTTTGGGTGGCAGGAATAGCAAAGCTTCCTTGGAGAGCCCTAGATTCTATCCAGATTCCGTAAATGAGTTTCACAAGGGTAGGACCGGGAATTTGAGTTTTCTCCCCCTGTACGTCCTCCCCCGTAATATTTCCACAAGTTGTAACCTGGCATGCCTGCTCTCAGAAGCCAGAAATATGACAAATATTCAGATAAGCCAGTGGAATGCAGCACAGGTTCACTGCTTTGCTGGTGAAGACACTTTTTCACGTTAGGCGAGAAGGGCAGGTGCCTCTCTGCTTTGAATCCTGCACCCAGCGCCATACCAAGCAATCAGGAGACACTTAATAGCCATTTGCAGAATGAATTAATGAATCCTATTTTAATGTACTGTGGCAATTTCATCTTAAAGGAATATTATGGTGAGAATTTAAAGAAATTTTTGTTTTCATGTTTAAGGGGCTTAAAGTGAGGGTAATTTTTAATTTAAAGTTCAACCTTTGTGATTTTTTTTTTTTAATTTTTTTTTTTTACAGCAGAGAAGTGTAGTAAAAAGAGCTTGAGATCTGGAGTTAGACCCATTTTAGAATCCAGGCGTGGCATATTCTGAGATAATAGTGTATAATTATAGGAGTTGTGACGATTAAATGAGGTCTCTGGTGACACTCCCAGCACATGGTGGAGGATGGGAATGGGACGGAGCGGGTGTCCTTCCTACTTGGCTGGGCCATCCACTGTCCTGCCAAGGTTCAGGGTTATTACTCACTGGTATAGAGTCACCGATGGGCTGCCCATTTCACAGAGCAAGAAAAAGGGAGTTTACCTCTGTGGGCCATGTGCAGACTTAGGCTTCTTCTGCTCAGACACATTTTATAAAATGTGCTT